CTGTGAAAGAAGTTCTTCAAAGCTATGCAATGCACAACAGTGTTAAATTTGTGTTAAAAAACACAAATGCATACACACAGAGTAGCTCTTTTATAATACATACTTCTAGGCCATTGGCTTGTTGTAATATAAGAGGAGCAGTGCTTGCCTTTTCTGTCCCACATTTGCTGCTTGTGTCCTAACATTTATGACCGAGAGAATCTGTTTCTTAACAGTGCCAATTGTGCAAGGTTTACCTAATTGACAGTTTTTCCTGCTGACCTCAGCAAAGAGCACAATGGTTTAAAGATGCAAAGAAAACAAGTTAGCTCTTTCATCTTCTGGCATCTACCAAACAGGAGAATGGAAGTCTATTGATGTTCCAGCCAGCCCAGGGAAATGCATCCTGTTGCCAAATAGGTCCTTTGCCATTTAGTGATATGGGTAGAAGATGTGGGTCTGCACTTCTGTGAAGTGTGGTGTGTGTCGTGTGTCCCCCCACCCCCTGCATCAGGAACTAATCCACTTCCCCAGTCAAAAAGTAATAAAGCATTTTTATTTCTTGCTGGTAGGAAAAGCCATGAACACAACAACTTTGTTTCCGTGTTTGCTGAATGCAATAATGCTTTGCGATGTCTTCAAGGCCTTGAAGATGCTTTATGGCATGATAAAATGTGCGCATAATTCATGTTCCACATTGTGCAGCAGTGACACTTGTCATCCTCTGAATAAATACATTTTTAAAAAGGTTCTTTCACCCGTAATTCCACATTGATGGTGCCAGCCAGGCTTTTCCCCCTAAAGCCAAGCCAAACTGACATTGCTTCCCTCATTTTTGTGAGTTTTAAAACCTGACTTTCTTTTCAACGGTATCCAGTGCTGGTTGTAAACCTGCTACACTGTTAGGGTTTAATTCTCAGCATCACTTGAGAGTCAGACTAGCGTGGTGGCAGGTGAAGATCCAAACGTTAGAACTGAGTTGCGGGTGGGGAGGCAATTTAAAGCATGGTATTCAAGGATGGGAGGGGTGCTAAACTCTTGCACCAGCTCTGCTTTTATGTCGGAACCATTCCAGCTGTTTTAAACCTCTTATGGGTTCCTAGACTTTAAGTGATCCCTTCCAAGGAAAAAGTTTCTGGGGGCAAGGTTTGCTTGCTTGCTTGCTTGCTTGTGTGCTTGCTTGTTGGGATGGGTATGAACAAAGTCAGAGAAAGGTCCAGCATCCCCTTCTCACCTGTTCATTAGACCTGGCACATGTTTCCCAAGGCCAAATATCCTTCATTGGGGTGCTGCCGCCATTTGAGGACCTGTCCTATTCTGCCCCATATAGAAGTTTACTGGATTGGCAGCTGAATCAGCTTTCAGTGCATTCATGGGATAGCTCACATGAAGGCAGGTAAAGAGTTGGCTGTTGCTTTTTATCCCAGCAACTGTGACTGCCTCACTCTGCCTAATGAAAGGGCCAGCCTGCACTGTAAATGGCTCCTTTGCTATGGGTTGCACTCTATCACATGGGGCCATCTGCCATGGCAAGTTTGGTAATGCAGAGCATGATCTTTTATAGATTCAAGCCGTATTGTTAAAGCCAACAGAAAAAAAGTATTTCCAGAATCCTTTTCTTTGACAGATACTCCATCCATCCTCCCATTTGGGATTGTTAATTTTTTTATCAGTAGCTCTGCCCCTTCTTGAGAATTGCATACATTGAAACACTGGGGGACAAACAAGGCTTGAAAAGGTAAAGCTGGTTTTACCAATATTTTCCACTTCTGTATTTTTGTGTTAGAGGCAGATGATCGGAAAGCATTGCCTTGGCTTCTCCTGGCAATCTCTGCATAGATTATCATGCAATCTGAAACCACTTGGGCTGGTGATGGGAAATGTAATGCTTTTATAACTCTGTCATTTGGTGCCCTCCAGAATTTTGTCTAATTTACAATTCGCTACTTTATACTTTTAGACGTACACTTTTTAATGTAAATCTTATGTGGAAACCTAGAAAAAAGGTGTGAAGAACTCCACTGTGTTTAGGATTTAGCTGGTCAAATTTGTGGGTTTTAGCATTCCTTGTGTTTTAGCTATGTCTATCAGTTTTTAAATGGTGATGGTAGTGTTTTGTTTTATAAAAGTGCTATCTGTCCTGAGCTGCTGGGATAACTGGCTTGACAATTTAATAGATGGTTGATCTTGTTTTTTTATTGTACACAAAGTAGGACATAATTTTAGAAAGACAACTCTAATCCAGTATACACTAACAAGTAGAGTAGTTTTTAAACAAGAACAACAAAATCATCCAGCAATGTGTATGTCTCCATTAAAGTAGCTGTGGGGTGCTTTGTGGAATCCATACATATGCTGGCACAATGCCTGTCTTAAGCAATGCAGTAGTTTTGTCTGTTTCAGAACTCCTCTGGTTATATTTAGATGTTACATTCACTGTGTTACACAGGCAGGGAGTCAAAATGAGGAAACATCCCTGAACCTTTAATACAAAAGAGTGGATCAGGAGAAATCTCTATCTTCCACAGCACACACATTTTCGTTCAGTTCCCTGAATGAATCACAGTTGTTAAGAGGCTTTGGTTGCTTCTCTCCCTTTGTCTTTTCATTTCTCCTGTAGTGATTCTAACACACTGCTGGTGTTATTCCTGGAGTAATAATGAGGCCCCTATGGAATTCACTCTGTGGAGGTGCCAGCCCAACACTGTACAGACAGAATCTCTGCCAATTTGCTTCTAAGTATTCTTCACGCTCCAGCTGAGGAACTCTTTCTGCTCAGAAATAAGGGAGAACAAGGGCTTAGCCTATTAACTGCCCTCCTCCAACATTCACGGGGCAAGGGAAGGGCATTTTGGACCACATTCTGGAGCATGCTGCATACATTGATAAATTGTGCGTGCATAGATCTAGCTATTAGATGTGGTGGCACACACGCACGCACGCACACCCTTTGCTGCTGGTTCAAAAAGCAGCAGAGATGCGTTCAAGAGCCCACAGCATTCTCCTGCTCCATACAATGGCCCAGTTGGAAGGATGCCATGAAAGATGGCCAGTGGGAGCAGCCATCTTTCCCCACGGCCGCAGTCCTGGGAACAATGCCGCCTCGTGCCTTAGTGTTGTTCCTGTAGGGCCATTGCATGGTTGGAGAAAGGCAGTGAGGCTGCTGGGTTCAGCTCCCATAGTTTTTTGAAGCAGCAGCCAAGCTTTTATACTTAAAGAAAAAGCAGTTTTAAAGCTTTTGCTGGCTCATCAGAACAGTTTCCGTCCTGCCAAGATGAATTTTAGGGTTTGATCCAATGCATGTATAGACAGGGAAAAATCTATAACTGGTGGCTAGGGAATGCTGGGAGTCATAGGCATTTTCTTTGGCTGGCACAGGCTGCAGTTGTAGGAATATCCACCCCACCCCACACACACACACACACACACACACACACACACACACACACACACACACCCTGCCTGGGAAGACTGGGGGTTGTTGGCCATTTTTCTACCGGGCCATGCATAGGGTTGCATCTTTACCATATTCGTATATGTTCAACAGTGTGGGAAACTATGCTCCACTGAAGACTTCTCCAATGTGTGTAGGTTCAGTGAAGGATAAAGAAGAAGAGCTTCTGTATGTCCTGGGACAGGGCTAGCATGCCTAAAGCCCTGTAGTGGCTTGTGAAACTGAGAAGCACTGAATGGTGGAGTAATACACTTCCAGATATCTATTTGCCTCTGGTGCAAACACATCACATAATTTGCAAGCCAATTATAATAATAATAGCAACATTAAAAAAACCCTCAACACATTCTCATCGTCTGCACCTAACGGCCAAACAGATGCACCAAACAGAGTAACACTAATTTAACGCCTACTGCTTCAGCTTCCTCTTCTTCTTCCTCTTCTGGCAGCATCTGCTCCAACATGCTCATTAACTTCCTGCGAATGTCAGTGTTGGAGATGAGGTTATTGCTGTGAATGGAGTGAATGAGGTACCACCCCACTTCCACGAGCTAAGATCACTCCCATTTTTGGTTACATTTGACCATCTACTGTCAGGTGAAGCCAAAGGGCAACAATGAACTCACCTGCAGACTTGTGGGACAAGCCCAGGGTGGGTACTTTGCCAGGAAGCACTCCCCTGCACACTGCTCACCTGAGGCTCCCCATTCATGTACCTGTGCAAAACTGGAGGGGGACAAAACGCTTAAAAATATGTTCAGTAATTGCAAGCAGTCCCTCCAAGCTGCTGTTGGGGCACTCTGAAGTCAAGATGGGGATTGGAAAATCTGTCTTAACAGCCATTTTTCACACTCTCTAGGGAAAAATGAAAGGTAAAGTGAAAAAGGTTGTGATGCATCCAGATGAGGAGAGAGGACACAACTTGGTCGTCCTGAGGTGTCACCTAAGATGTTTCAGGAGGACCAAGCCAGGAGGACGGGGAGGGAGGGGACAACAACCACGCCACTGTGACGCATTGCCGGGGTGGGTTGGCATGACCTGCAAAGTCACCCAGTGAAGGGGACCAAGATCTTTTCAGAAGCAATCCAGAAAGCACCTTGGAGTCCTTCTTGCGTTGTTTGTCCCAGAGATTAAAATATCCAGTGCAGAAAAGAATATTGAAGGGACCCAAATGTATATTCTAGTCAGGGTAAATGTTTATGCTTCCTTGAGGCACAACCCAACCTAAGACTCAGGTGGGGGCATGCCCTTAAGTCTTCTACAGGAAAATGTACAGTCACGATCTTCTTGAATCTGGTATCCTGCAGCTGACTTGGACTACAACTCCTGCAATCTGCAGCACTGTGGGGACAAGGATCTTCGTTTTGTTAATCATAGAACAGTAGAGTTGGAAGGGGCCATGAAGGCCATCGGGTCCCACCCCCTGCTGTTGCAGGACACCAAGTCACACCATCCCACTCAGAGGGCTGTCCAGTTTCTTTTTGAGTGTCTCCAGTGTGGGACGTTCTCAAGCAACTTGGGTAAATCTGTGTCAGTGATAACCATTCTCCCCCTTTCTCCTTTGCAGCACTTTTACAGTCAGTAGTAGCTGGCGATTTTCTAAAAGTAAGTACAAGAAGGTCTACCGCTGTTCACTGGGTCTCAGTTAGATATTCTGATGGATATCCATCTCACACTTTTTGTTGATCCATTTACCATATTTCTGTTTATACTGTCCACCAATTAGAGCCCCAGGATGGTTTGCAGAAAGTGTAGCTTAGAATAAGGTAGCTGTAACTACAAATGAGCCAAAATGAGAGGTGGTGTAGTATGGTGTAGTGGTTATGAGCACAGGACTGGGACTCAGGTGACCTGGGTTCTCGTTCCAGCTCAGCCATGGAGCCAACTGCACGACTCTTAGCCCAGCCTACCTCACAGGTGGTTGCTGTTGGAATATCTGTGAGGAGGAGGGAAATTATGTAAGCCACTTCATAAGAAAAATGCGGAAGATATGAATCTGATCTTTAAATAAATAAAATAAAAGCCACACAATCATAAAAGCAACATAATGCACTCAGCAGGACTGAAAGGACTAAACATATAGGAATACAGAAGGTCTTTGCCTGGCACTGAAATAACAATAAACTAGGCCCAGGTCAACCTCTCTGGGGGATGCTTGGAACTGGGACACCCCCACCGTGACGGCCCTCTCGTAGTGGCTTTCTGCCCTTCAGAGGGAAGCACTGGCGGGCGGCCCGTCCACATGCAGCAGACGGTCCATTGTGCACTTGGGCCCTGTGCTATACGGGGCTGGAGAGGCAGAAACCAGCACCTCCACTGGGCCCAGAAACCTGCCAGCCAGTGCAACTGGAGGAGCAGGTGGCCAGCCCCGTGCAGCATGCTCTCCACCTTCCCAGCCCCGTGTCCTCTGCACTACAGCAATCTATCCCGCAGGCTGCCGGAGCCTGGCAACTGAGGCCAGGGTCATTTGTTATCCTTCCTCAAATTCAATGTCCAGGGAGACGCACTGATCACCAAAGAGCAACTGGCGTAATCTCACGGAGTGTTGGGAGTGCCAACAGCCTGATTGGCGAGAAGCATCGTGGAAAGCAGCGTGCATCTGGAGCAGGGTATTGGCTACAAGGCCTTAGGCCAAATGACATTTGTCATGCCCAAATCTCCTCTGTAGCCATGTGCTAGGCATACCAAGAGGCTTTTCAAGCTGGTGGCTAGGCGGTCACAAGCGGCTGTCCCGAAGCAGTAGCTTTAGCTGTGCCACACCTTCAAAATGCTCCTAAGCAGAGTTCAATATAGATGCAAGGAGCTAGCAAAGTAAGAAACTGGCACCGCAGTCTATCATCTCAATTTGATGTATGGCCAGTCTAATAGTACATTAGTTTCTGCTCCCTTTTGCACTTCATTGCATTTCAGTATTTGCTGCAAATGCAGTTCAACTATTAAGTAGTTTCCTGGAACACCCAGTGTGTCCCATCTCTCTCTTAACTCTCAGGATCGAAAACATTTTTTAACATGCTAATCACTGTGCAATGCACACATCTAGTTCCATTCTTGACAGTGCTATTTCTTTGGTCAAAGAGATCACTCCCATAACTGATGTTCTTTTATGTTGGTTGCTCTAAACTCATGTGCCTCTTTGCTTCCCGTCAGAATGCAAGGCAGGCAGTTTGCTTGAGTAGTTTTTGATTTGTGACACTTACGAACATTTAATGGATGAATAGAGCCAGTTTCTCTGTGGAAAAGATTTTCCATGCAATGCTTGCAGAATGATCCTGGAAACATATCTTTTAAAGGACATCAGCAATGCCAACTTCAGAGGCATCCAGGGTTTCCTGCTAGTATTTTCCAGATTGTAGTAGCACATCCCCTTCTACCAGCTATGTAGATCTGCCTTAACTTTTCTCAGTATGAATCTACCTGTCAACTGAAGTCCTCATCCAGGTGTCTTCCCCAAGGAAAGCCTAGTAGGTAGCAATAATGGGAAGGGCCTTATCTGTGTTGGCCCCCAGTTATGGGACTTTCTCCCCAGTGAAGCCTACCTGTTTGACACAGTTATCCTTTTGGCACCAGACTTTCTTCCGCTCTCAGGCATTTGGCAGCATATGCTCAGGGTTTAACTAATCCTGGAAATTTTACTGTGGATTGTTTAAAACTGTTTTGTTTGCAAACAGTTGTTATATTCTATTTTAAAGTTTTAATCATTTATAAACTGCACAGAGAACTCTGGTTGTTGGGAGTTATGGAAATATCATTATTATTATAAACCACCACCATTTTCTATGCAGTGTAGTTTTAAATACACCCATTGTTCCTGTCCTGTGTGAACAGTGCACATGAAACTGCCGACAAGGTGCCAAGGTGCATTGCCCAATTCCAGACCTCCATAAATGCATCACTTTCCCACACTGGATGGAGCATTCTGCCGAACAGCCTTGCTTATGGCCTCCTCTGCGAAGTGAAACTGTGAAATTACGTTCTTTTGTCTTCTCTCTGTGCATTTATATTTCAGTTCATAGAATGCTGTAAAAAGGGAGCTAATCTGTTAATCCAGGGACCTGACCACTGTTCCTTGCTTCACCACGCAGCCAAGACTGGGCATGGAGAGATTGTGAAGTACATCTTGGACCATGGTAAGTAGGAGTGAGTGCCAGCCGCTTCAGACTCGGGTGGCATGCTTGCCAGGAAGGGCATCAGAAATCACTTTGCCTCATTCCCCTGCTTGAACTGGGTACAGCTGGGAGCTTTTCGCAGGCTTCAGGGAGGCATCGTAGAACCATTATTGCTGGGAATATCCAGTGCATTGGCTTGTGTCTGAAGCATGGGCCCATTCATGCTTTAGCCACAAGAAAATCAAACACCCCGGACATTAGATGGTGGTGTGGATAGGGATAGAAACAGAGAAACAGAGTGAGTCAGAAGGGGCCTCCTGGGCCATCTAGTCTGACCTCTGGCTTCAGCTGGCTCCACTCACGACATGCCTGCCATGGCTGCACAGCCCCCTTTGTTTTACTGGCACTTCTAGTTCTTTGTGTGGTTAATGCATGTACACGACTCAGTTCAATGGGCTGACTGGTTTTACAGGCTCCTTCAGGGCTTTAAGCTGCAGCTGAGAAAGCTGTAAAATAATAACCCAGCCTGTACTGTGTTGATCTACAACACCCATAATCCCCCCACTGCTCTTAGAATTGTAGATTGACACATCTGCTGTTATCAGCTTGGAACAGTCCATCATAAACCTGAGCAGCATAACTGGCATTTGCTCAGAACATACATGTACACTTCCATGCGACTTTCATGAATGTTGTTGAATCATACCCATGATAACTATGCAGGTTTTTTTTAAAAAAAGATTCTTGCTAGGCCTGGATCTCTTCTCAAATGATTTTTGATTTTTTCCCACTCCAGCAAGATGACTAGCAACATTAATTATTTTTTAAAAAGCACTCTGTATTGTACTAGGTGAATATGGCATACACAGAGCAAAAGTCAGTTTGGGGAGCTCTGATGTAGAAGCTGGCAGGGCAGGTGCAAGAAGATGCTTTTCCTCCACCCTTCCTTTCCTCATTCTTTTTTAAACTTTGGGCTTGAATTGCTTGCTTTCCAATGTCCCCATTGAAAAAAATGAGAGTAGCAGCTCCAAAGGCTGGTGCAGTTCTTCCCTGACTCTGGGTGCATGGCAGAGGCATGGGAGGGACCCACAGCATCTATCACCGTGACCCAGGATTGTTCCTGTATCGCCTGCTTTTTGTTCTCGGCAATGTCAGAGTGGAACCATCAGCAGAGCACAGACTGTGGACCTTTCTGCAGCCTTGCAGAGGAGTCTTGTGAGATGAGGTCTCTCCTCTCTGAAGGGTGGCTTCTTCCTTCACCCCAGAGATGGAGGTCTGACAAATCCAGCGGCCTCAGGACTGTCTCCCAGAGACTATAGGCTTCCCATTAAAATCAGCAGCTTTACAAGTGGGCAAGTTTGACTGGACCATGCCCTACATTTATCATTATTAGTCTGCAACAAAAGAGGAGGCCATATACTGAGAAACACATGCTAGGGAGTCCTTTTAAAGGAATCAGTAGTGGAGTGAAATTAACCAGACTGTGAGCTTCATGTACTCATCACTGGCTGTTGGCATGTGTTGTCAAGTAATCTTGGACTGATGGAGATCCTATGACTGAAAGCCCTCCAAAATGTTCCATTCCTGTCAGCCTTTGCAAATTCAGCTCTTGTAAATTCAAGGTTTTGGCTTCCTTTCAGGAGTCAGTCATATGCACAGTGAATCATCTGATCATCATGCTTCCCGGTAATTTGGGAAAAGCCTCATTTGAGCAAAGGAAGAATCCCATCTCTTTATTATGTAATTCACCACTTATTCCAAAAGGCAGACAACGTAGCCCTTTTCTAGATCCAAATCTCTGTATAGCTGGGGATTTCACACAGGGAGATAACAAAGCATAAATCCACACCATTAAACTGTGGCTAACATAGCTAGTCCTGCTCTGAAAGCACAGGGAAGGAATAAAATACGTGGGGTAGATAAGATACCAACAGAAGTATTCCGTGTTGCAGAGGCTGAATCATTCCCAATCCTAACAAGAATATGCCAACAAATATGGAAAAGAAAACAATGACCCACATGCCCAAGAAAGAAGATGCAAAAGAGTGCAGCAGTCACAGGACCATTGCATTACTCTCCCATGCAAGCAAAGTGTTGCTTAAAGTGATGGAGCAAATAATACTGCTCTATATTGAGCAAGAAATGTCAGAAGTCCAAGCTGGATTCTGAAAAGGAGGAGACACCAAAGATCATATTGCAAATATATGTCAGCTTCTGGAATACACCAAAGAATTTCAGAAAAAGATCAGTATATGTTTTATAGACTGCAGCAAAGGCGTTGCCTGTGTAGATCAAGAGAATGTATGAATGGTCCCGAAAGAAATGGTGTGGGGGGGAGGTCTCAGCACTGATTGTCCTGATGCATACCCTGCACCACGGTCAAGACGCTACTGTGGACAAGAAGGCCAAGATAACCCACACAACTATATTCTCAGTCACTATGTATGGAGAGTGAAAACAGGTGATGGAAAAAAAACCTATGTGTTTGAAACATGATGTTGGAGGATAGCACTGCAAATACCCCAAACTAACAGAAAGACAAACGAGTAGGTCCAAGGTCCAATCAATCCAGAACATTCCCTGGAGGCAAAAAGGACAAAACTCAAGCTGATGCACTTAGGCACGTCATGAGAGGGCAAGACTCATTGGGGAAGACAAACCTGCTAGGGAAAGTCAAAGGCAGAAGAAGAAGAGGAAGTCCAACTATGAAATGGATTGTTTCCTTAAAGGAAACCACAGCCTTGAGTTTACAAGAGCTGAGCAGGACTGTCAAAGGCACTTTGGAGAACATTCACTCATAGTGTCAGCATAAGTCAGAGATGATGTGATGGCATATAACAAGAACATCATAACTAGTGATGGGCACACTCCCCCAAATTGCTTTATAATTATCTCAGATTTTCTGAGCTTGCTTGTAAACCTCTCAGGAAAACTAGGGCTTTCGAGTGATTAACAACTCACAGCCCCATCAGTTCAACCACTTCCTCTCTGATGAAAATTGGGCCATACTGATTAATCAGCCAACATTGTTTTTCTCCTCTCCGTGGCAGTTTTCCAAATACTTACGGGGTGTGTGCATGCAACATTATTGCAAGCACACAGGCAGTCTATTGTATGGGCCTGCCCTACTTTCCACCAACAGAATTTAATCTCCATATCTGCAACCCATGCATGGGATGTCACCACGGAGGAACGAAAGCCACACAACTTGCTGTACATGGGAAGGAGCAGAGAGTAACCGCATTAACACTGGTTGGTAGAGACTGGACGCTGCCTGTAGAACCAGGGGTGGGGTCTATGGGAAAGTGGGTATTTCTTTGGAGGGGTCAATATTAGAAATCATGCAAAAATGGGGACTTTTAAAATGCTTTTTTTCTTGGTATAAACTCAGCAATGGAACAAATGTGTGATGCTTAGCATCACCCTGCTCCTTGCCCATATGCATACACCATCCTATATAGTCATACTTCATCCTAAAGCAAAGTCTCTTTGCTTATTGGGAAGCCGTTAGAGCACATGCTTCATGTGGCTAAAGGCAGGGAAGGGGAAATGAGTTAACAATTTGAGGCAGATGGATGATAGGTGACATTAAGGACAGACAGAGGTCCCCAAAGGACTTCCTCCCCACGCTTCCCAATTTTTAGCTCTTTCAGCTAACCCCTGCCACCCCTCCACCAGCTCCCCATTATACTTTATTTCCTGGAGTCCTTTATTTCCCTGACTCCCTGCACATATTTCTCCCTCCTTCTCTCTCTCTCTCTCTCTCTCTCTCATTTTGTTTTGTTTTGTTTTTCCGCCCTGCTGTTTTCCTTGATAGAAATCTCACTCATGCGTTTCCCTTCCGGATTTCTCTTGGGTTTGTTGGCGTTTTCTTTCTCGCAGCTCCGGCCACCTTTTCTTTCTCTTGCTTCTTGTCCCTGGGTAATTCAGCCAGCTTCCCACTGTGGCAGGATGACTGAGCCATTCACTTCCCCAGTGCCAGCTTTTCCCACATCTGTGTGGCTTTTGTCATGTGCCAGTGGGGGATTTGGAATGGTCTCCTGGCAGCGGTATTGGGAGACTGATACATATACATATAAAAGGTAGGATCCAGAAAGCTGGCTGAGCTTAGAAGGGGACCTGAGATGGAGATGGGGAAGCATACATTTGAGCAAGGCTCATAACTCTAACTCTGGATTTTAGGTCCTTTATACACTGTATCAACAGCAGCAGAAGCTACAACAATTTAGCTGTAGCAGTGGTCTTCATTGGTTGACCCCTCTCCTCCAAAGTCAGTAGCCTGCAAAGCCATTGAAGATCAGTTAATTATAACCCTAGAAATCTCATGAAAATGTCTCTTCCTACATTTCTAGCACCTATGGTGAATATATGAATGCTGGATCATGTGGAGTCAGGCTATTATTTTACTGTTGCATTTATGCCACCTTTTGGACAAGTGCCCATAAAAGAGCTAATAACAGTTCAGAAGAATGCCCACTGGTTCCATTGGACTGATGGGATTTTCATGCTTCTAAAACTAACCCCATAAACTGGTAGAAGAACTCATTTCCAGATTGGGACAGATCTCTGTATATTTTTCACAATTGATATATTGCCTTATTTGTTCAAAAGTCACAAATAAATAGCACAATTTAAAGCTAAAATCTAGAGGTAAGAACCTTACAAAGAGTAACCTTTAGAGCATTAAAACAATTGCATGATCAAAAAGGCTAAATATTAAAAATGTGTCTTCAATACCATCCAATTTTGTTAAGACACAGATAGACACAGCTCTGTGCACAAACTGAAGACTGTTGTTGAGGAGGCAGTTCTGGGAAAGAAAATATTTGACTTATTTTTGGACTCACATGATAATTACAAGGTTGAATAAGATAAACTTAATGTTGGGACACGAACTACATAATGACTCAATAATTACTTTTTTGGAGGTATCTTAAAGGTATGGTGAAACCTGAGGATGTTGAAATAGAAATTCAGCTCTTAGCAGCAGCTCAAATGGTGATCAGTTTTAGTTGGCAGACACTTAATCTTCTTCACAATCAATGCTGATGCCTTAAGATCTGGGATAAGTTTACTGTGGTCAAGTGGGCCCGTATGTTAAGAATTGGAGAAGGGAGATCAATAGAAGATCAATTTATAGAACAGTTGACTCTTTTTATTTTTCATAGAATGAAAAAGGTTCAGGAAAAAAGTTTAGGGAACACATTTTGTTCATTTGGTATATTTTATGTTGTTAGCTCTAGTATAAAAATGTGTGTTTGACAAGTTTTTTAAATTTTATGATGATTCTTGATATTGGAATTTATATTACTGATCATTGTGAATATTTTGATTCACAATACTTTGTACTTGGTGTGTGTGTGTGTGTATGAAGACTCAGGTAAGACTCAGAAATTTAAAACAAGGTCCATATCTCCTCTTCTCAAGGCTGAAAAGATCCTGTTTCCTCAGTCTCTCCTCATATGGCTTACCCTGCAAACAAGCCACCATCCTTGTGGCCCTTCACTGCACTGATTCCAACCATGCTATATCTTGTAATGGGGGGCCCAGAACTGAGCACAATATTCCAGCTGTGGCTGCACCAGAGTCGTACACAGTGGCAATAACACTCTGGTCTGTCGGCATCATCCGGGGTCTCAAGTTCGCTAGAAGGGCGATAACATACCCCCACTGTCACCCTGTGGGGGTATGTTATCTCACCCTGCTGAAACTCTTTAGTCTCACCCAGGCCACCTCTCCCAGACTCCCATCTGCGCCACGTTCTATCTCATTGCATCCTATCCTTTCCCTGACATATAACGCTATGAAAGCCATTTCATTCATGCCCAACAAAAGGTCCACTGCAGGTCGTGATGCCCTCAGACGGCCCTTCTGACAGCTCTTCATAACTGGATGGGTTTATAATGAGAAAGTAGTCCCTTCTCCTAGGGATTGAACTTTGCATCCAAAGTGCCTATCCTAGCCTCTTAGCTTTCCAAGTGTAAGGGAGGGGCTGTAGCTTGGTGGAAGAGCTCCCGCTTGGCATGCAGAAGGTCCTAAGTTCAACCCCTGACATCTCCATGTAGGGCAGGAAAAGCTCCTGCCTTGAATCCTGGAGGGCTGCTGCCAGTCCGTGTTGACAGTAATAAACTACCTGGACCAGGGGCAGCTTTCTGAGCACCTGTGCTTCCTTTCTATGCTTGCTGATTATGTAATCTTTGTGCTACATGGGTATGTTGGCACATGGCAGGGTAATGTGCTGCAAAGGCAAAATGGAAGAGGAATGTATTTAAATAAGGAGGAAAAGCATATTTAAATTAAGAGGAGAATGATAAGGTTCCCTGAGCCTTTGTATTTGAATCCACTTGTTGAGGACAAATGTGACCTGTATTGCATTCTTTTTCAGGTCCTTCTGCTTTGCTGGATATGACAGATAGTGAAACGTAAGTCTTGTCCTCTTGGTTCTCTTTTAATTTAATTCCTGCTCACTGTTAGCTATATGCATTGTCGTTTTCAGTTTAAGTAAAATAAAAGCCAATATCCTAAAACACCAAAAAAACAGAGCAGGCCTTTGATGTGTTCTTTCTAGTTTTAAAACACCTACTTTTCTAAACTGCAGCACTAATTTAGGTATATGTGCAAACAATGGGCTGTTGAAAGGAGATATTTAATTCCTCTTTTAACATCTGTCTTATACTCACAACTCAGCTGGTTCGAGTGTAGCAAACAGGGCCCATTGGAAAGCCAGTTGCACCCACCCCCCTTCGGTGTACGCTGCAGATCAAGAAGGCAATTCAAACCTGTACTGGTGTTTGTCCCAGGCCATGGTCTGAAGGCTGATAGTGCAACAACTTTGTGAAATTATGCATCACTGATCCGGATGAGGGGAATGGGTAGGAAATACTGCCTGAGGACCTCATCTTTGCAGCCTTAAGTTTCATGGAGGAAAGGTGAAATATAAATGCTATAAAAGGAGCCCAAAGCCAGGGAATGGAAACTAAACCAGATTAACTGCTGCAATTTATTTTCTGTGACTTCAGTGCATCATTTGCTAATTTCTTCCTGCTCCTAATATTTTCCAATGTTGTCCCAAATTGTAAGTGAAGTTCTGAAAATAACAGACCTTCTGTTTGTTCCTGCCCTACCACACCAATCTTTTCTTAATTGAAGTTTTAAAAAAGGCTTTGTAAAAAGGTAGGCACATGTATGAATTGGCCTGTTTGATTAAATTACCATTGAAACTATTTGCACTCCTAATTGATCATTCTCTCTGAAGGTGCTTTGCTAAATTCTGAAATTAGATATTTGAAAACGTAAAAATAGTTCTTGTAACTAACCTCTGTTGTTGAGTTTATGCCTTAATTGCCAGGTTTTTGTTAATCTGTTGTGAAGGCTTTTCTAATCCATCCCATCTGCTTTTTCAGATTGCCAGGTGCTTTTTATTCCATAGCTGGCTTCACTGGCAAAATTCCATTTTGCCCCAATTCATTTGTATACCTTTGCATAAATTTGCATTCCAAAAATGTGCAATCCCTCTTCCCAAGATACGAAGTGCAAATTTCCCCACTTTATTGGAGAAAGTATGTTTGTCAGAAAGTCAGGTTTTTTAATGGTACTTTTCTACAATTAAACTTGTGTACAATACAGAAAGTTGACAAAAACAACTCTGGCCTGTTAGTCCTTAAGATCCATATAATTTAGAAAAACTGGTGCACTATGGAATAAGTGGATCACATTCATGGGTATTCCAACTCATTTGAATCCACTGCATATTTCACCAAAATCTCTAATTTCCATCGTCTCAGTATGAGCTGCTCATCTCAGATTAATGTTATAAATCTGCTCTTATCAATGGTCTGATGTATGATTTGCCCATCATAGAATCCAACTTATAAAAGTACGAGAAAAAGAAAAACATTTTCAACAAGCAATTATATTCAACCCTCTTTAAAGCTTTTCAAAGTTTTGAAAGTTAAAATTTGTTCTGAAAATAATGTTTAAGTGTTATCATCCCTCTTATTAAAGCAAAGACGATTAGCTTGAATGTATTGGGTGCCTGCTGGTTTCTTTTCGACAGTTACTTTAAGCATAGGAAAAAAAGAAAAGAAAGAAAACTTTCCAGCACATATACCAGTGGCTAAAGACTTTTTTCCCCATGCATTTGTTAAAAAAATCCCGATTACATAAAGAACATGCAGAGGTTTGCAAACATCCTTTGCCAGCCTGATGCCTTCCAGTGTCTTCAGTGTCCCTCAGACTTGGCCAACCCAACTGCTGGGAACTGTAGTCCAAATCCTCTGGCACCGGGTTGAGAAAGGCTGAGTGGTTATAGTGGAGGAGGAGGGGGAGACAAGCATGCCAGGGGATTCTGGAGCTGCAGGCCTTCCACACAGTGCAATCAGCCAATAGACTTGGAAGTCAAGGCATGTTTGAGATTCTTCTCAACAAATGCCAGCATTTCTTAGATTTTGAACAGGACTGGCACAATGTCTTCCCTTCTGTACTTGCAAATGTACCAGGATGGGAGTATAATCCTCTGTCCATTATACAGTCTGTGAAGATTGCAGTCTGCATTTTCAACCACTGCTAAATCCTTTGGTGTCAGTCCAAGTAGAGACACAGCCTAGAGTTGCCTCTTGATATTTATTTAAACTGTATCACCAGCATTTCATGACTTTAAGGATGGCTTTGAAATATTGTTCTAGCTGAAGTCCTGTGTCAACCAACTCCTCAAATCCGGAGAATTGCATGATATAAATGTTGATTTGAGGTTTAAAGAAGTTTTAAAGCAGGAGCACATCCTGCCAGCAGAAGCCAAAGTATCATTGTTCAGATTCAACGGGCAGTAACATGGAGGCGGAAGAAAGGGAAACTCACCACTGCTTGCCCAGCAATGGAAATCATTCAAAGAAGCAGGGGGAAAAAATCACTGGTTTAAAATGGAGCTCCAGACTAGATGAAGACTTAGCATTCAGTACATTGCTTTAAGCATGGTAATAAAAGAAAGAAATCTTTGGACGCCCTTGAGACCATGCGCTGACGCAGAGAGGAGTCAGAGAGCAAAATGAGAAAATGTGTCTCTGTCTGCAGTCCTAAAATGATGTTGTGGCAATTGAAATTAATTGTTGAAGGTGGTTCATATTGATAGTCTTCTCATCTGAACACACAGGGGTGAGACAGCACTGCACAAGGCAGCCTGCCAGCGCCACCGCACTATCTGCCAACTACTGGTAGAGGCGGGCGCGTCACTGAGGAAAGCGGATTCCAAGGTAACCAAGCCAAACAAACCCATTTGAGCAATGCGGTGGGCATGTGAAACCGATACGCCTCCAGCTCTGTCTAGGCTACTGTTGGGGCATCTCAAAAGTCACCATTCTGGCTTATTGCTCAGCCTGATGTTAATCATATTCCTTCAGAGATAAGCCCCATTAATTTTATTTATCTCTCTCTTGCTGTTCATTGCAAGGTGGATTACAGCAAGTCGGCAAAGCTATAGAGCACAATGCAAATATAATAGCAACTGGCAGGGTAAAATCACATGAAAGTACCAGGGGCTGCAGATCAAACCATTATGAGTGGAGGCAAGATACAGACCTTAATGGTGTCTATAAAGACATTGCCCAAGGACTGGGGAGACCATTTCAGAATTTGGGAACACTAGAGACAGTGTCCTGGTGGTTCATCACATAAATAGATTTATTTCCAAGTATGCAGGCATGGCAGGGACTGCAGGTGGCGCAATGGTTTAAACTGCTGTGCTGCTGGGCTGGTTGATCAAAAGGTCGCCGGTTCAAATCTGCACAACGGGGTGAGTTCCTATTGCTCCATCCCAGCTCCTTGCAGTTCGAAAGCATGCAAATGCAAGTAGATAAAAAAGTACCATTTCGGTGGGCAGGTAACAGCGTTCCGTGCACTTTGGTGTTTAGTCATGCCGGCCACACGACCACGGAGACTGTCTGCGGACAAACGCTGGCTCCCTTGGCTAGGAAACGGAGATGAGCACCGCCCCCTACAGTCAGGCATGACTGGACGTAATGTGAAGGGGAAACCTTTACCTTTTTACCTTTTATGCATGCATGACACTGCACCCTTTGAGAAAATCATATAATTTTCAAGGACTTGTATTGATTTAAGCCAGGCTTGCATGTGCATGACCCACCAAACCAAACATATCTGGTCAGTGCTGTATGGGCGTTCATCAGGGTCTCTGCACTGCTGGAGAATGCAAAATCAGTGGGGTTGCCAATGAGAGATATAGGGCTTTTGTTAAATCTGTTCTGTGTTTTGCATTGTTAGGTATGTTTCATTCTATCATCTGCTCATTAAAGGATATGGATATTTGTTATGCAGATGGGATGCACACCAGTTTCATTCCATTTATGCAAGTGCCCGTTAGTGCTAATGCACATTAGCACAAATGAGCTTTACTGCTAATGTAGCCCTGATTTTTTTTTAAATGCTCTGTAAGTCTGTGGAATCTCTTTGACTTAGAAAAAGCTGGTTTGCTGGAGAATCTGCTGGTTGGTTTCACAGAAATCTAACTCATTGGAATCCCTGTGGATTTCTTGGACATGCCTATCTTCAGGGGTCTATGGTGAACCTTACTCTCGTGTCAGTATTCACTTTAGAACCTAACATGTTCACTGCAGCCCAGCAAATTACTGGGAGAAGAATGCCCATGCTGCTTTGATTCTGCTGAGTGTCTCTCTGTCCCTCTGGTTATTCCTAGAGTTTTTACTTTCTGTGCATCTGCCTGTCTGTGTTATCACTGTAGGGTAAGACGCCTCGAGACAGAGCCCAGCAGGCTGGGGATCCAGATCTAGCTTCATACCTGGAAAGTCGGCAGAACTACCAAGTGGTTCCCCATGAAGACCTAGAGACTGCAGTGTGATGCTTGTGGTGTGGGGAAGAAAACCCTAGGGAATATCAAGGCCGCACCCCAGCACGCCTGGGTGTCCTGTGCGCGAGAGGTGAATGGCATCAATATGTCATCAATTGGCATATTGGCAATGGCATCAATATTATCTTGAGAAGAAGCCACCAGTTTCTAAGGGCTACGGAGACTTGCCACGGAACTCCTGTGTTCCCATATGTTAGCCTGTGAGGATAAGGGAAGAGACTCAAAGGTCTGTGGAATCCATGGGCCAAGGAAATTCGCTCTTATTGCTCTCAGCAAGTAGCACGGACATCTCCCATGTTTTTCTGTAGAATTTATTTGAGCAACAACTTCAGCACAGGTGCAAGACGGGGAAAAGCGAAGTAACATGAAGATTTGCAATCCAATCAAACCTTACTCTCCCCCATTTCCTTGCCCTGAAACTTGCATTTCTCTCACATTAACCTTTTCAACCTCACGCTCTACATTCCTTTTCCTTCAGTTTCCACAACTGCACATCAGTCAAGTGGTGTCTGTTTTATCTCTGTGCTGAATCTTCACAGCTGCTCTGGGTGACATCAGTGGTGTGAGGAGAGGATTTCTGGGCAAAACCCTACCGGTTTAATTAATGAGTTCTCATCTCGCATTCCCTCAGAGGTTGCATTGCCTGACAGTCCCTTTTAGCTGTGGACGTACTTCTCCTCCAGTCTTACCTGAATATTCACCAGAGCTGTCTCAGAGCCAATTTGTCATGCATTCGAGAGTACAAGGGCTACTGTGTGAGGGTGGGCCACCAATTGGGTCTAGGGTGTGCTGAAATGCTCTCAGAAAATGTGCTAGTCCTATTCAAAATTCCTCTGGCATCTCCAGATTCTCCAGCCGTTTGGTGCAAGGCAGAACTAGAACTGGCCGAAATCGACTTGTTTCACTGCCTCCTGCATTCTTTATTCCCAAATAAGGGGGATGTTGCAAAGTTAGTGAATGCTTATAAAAATGAGCTGAAATGATACGTTCACCTACTTGCACAGCTGTTCCTGACATGGAGAGGATCATGGTGCAGATGCCTGCCATACAGCTGTAAAAAATGACCTGGAGGAAAAAAGATGTGACAACTGCATGGTCAAATAGAGTGATTCAAACCCAGATTTCACAAGGAAAGCACCGGGAGCCTTGGGCCTCAATGGGTGAATCTGTCAGTTTAGGTTTCTCCCAACTTTCCATTTTTTTAAAATCCCAAGTTCTGTTTGCCCCATATGGAGAGCTCCACAACTTTTCGTAAAAAAACTGAGCTGAATTGATATTCTCTCCCATCCCCAGGAGGAACTTCCACAAATTTGGAAAAATCTGATAAGAACCTGTGGATGCATCAAATTCATTTCAGAAATGGTGTTCATTGCACCATTCAGTCTTTTTGTGGCCCTGCTGGTATAACCTCTCAGTCCCCGCTTTGCGGGCCATTAAGACCATGCTTAGCTCAGAACTGTTTGGAATTAGCCACATTTGGGTGCTTGAGAATATGTTTTTAGGCCACCAGAAATCAGAATAAAATCATAAATACCAATCATGATTTATCTTTGGTTAATTACCTTAATGCTTGGCTTTTTGTCTTTGCTTTTGAGGGCCTGTGGACCTGCTGGTATGATGTGAAAATCATTTCAAAATACATTGATGGTGCAATGCTAAGCATGTTTTCCCTAAGTCTTTCTAAGCTTATCAGAGAAAATGTAGTGATTGCACCCTAAAACTCCCTTTTGATAGAAAATATGATCCCCTAAGTTGAAGAATGCATTGAGACACAGACGACATATGGAAAATTTCCCAGTAATTAATGGACAAAGGAACATACAGTTGCCATGACTTGAATGCTTCCTCAAGGGTTAGAGCTGTCATTTGTTATGACTTCTGGCAGAATGTCTTCAGTCTGTCTGCTCTGATTCCAGGATACCATCACTGTCGTCAGATTGATTTTCTTTTAAATGACTCCTACCCCATATTTTGTTTTGTTTGCCCAAAGTCCATGATTTGAAGGGTTTCCATAACTGCTGCAAGACCCAGCAAATGTCAGCCTGAACTTGCTGACCAATCCTGATCAGTTCTTCTAGAGCTGATTGGGTGATGAGGATCTCAGCTGTATCTACATGCTGGTTGAGAAGGATGACTGCCCATAACCTCCCTCACACCTGCCCAGGAGAAAAGCACCCACAAGTTTTTATACCCCAACACTGGACCTGCTCCCCCTTCAGTACACTCAGGGGGAATTCAGCTTGAGTTGACATATCCCAACACAGATGACCCATGGACTCTGAGGCAGAGGCCAGCTTAGTTGTGTTCCCTGGGTGCTTCTGATCTTTTCTGCTATGTGGCCCTTAAAAAGTACCCCAAACTCTCTCCATGTGAGTGGGTGGAAGAGCTGTGCCTCCATTACATGCACCTTTCTACTTGCACCCTGATTGTGAGCTTTGTAAAATGGGTTGATTCTGCTTGGAATGATTCTGAGACCATCCACTTCAGTTTGGGTACAAAAACTGATTTGAGGTCCAGAAATCTGAGGTTTTATGCCTCTCATTGACTATCATGGGTATTTTATTAAAAATAGTGATAACCTGTTGTTGTTGTGGTTGAGTGTCAGAACTGGATAAAGTGTACAGGCACAGTAGCCTCTTAGCCTCTTATGCATACCAAATTTCCAAGAAATAAGTACAATAGTTCTTGTCTTGTGCGTCTTTATATTTTGATTTCTGTTAAAGGAGAATGGTTGATAACTTAAACATAGTTCTTGGCTGAATTAGATGACATTTCTAGAAATCCTCCCCTCCCTCCCCTCCCTTTTTTCTTTCTGAAAAAGCACCCATTATATTTTTGGGGTATTCAAAAAAAAAAAAGAAAGAAAGAAAGAAAGAAAGAAAGAGAACAACCTTATCTCCACCCTATCCTTGCATACCATATCCTTGAAGATGACAGACAGCAGAGAAGTAGCCTGAAGCAAGAAACCTGCAAAGTGTCAGAAAGGTGGAGTGGGTTTCTTGTGTGTGTGTGTGGATGATTTCCTTTGCTCTTGGTCACTTTGGAGGGAAGCTGGCTTCACCTTGGGAAATGCCAGAAACAGTCTGAAAGGGAGGCTCAGGTTTCAAGCTTTGACTGTATCTGAAGCAGATTCCTACTGGCCATCCCAGCTTCTGCCACAAATGACACATTTAGGATCAGAAATGACTCCTTAGTAACCTAAAGACAACTTGGTTGTCATAGAGCAGGAAAGGGGAACAGCTGACCCTCCAGATGCTGTTGAACTGTAACTTGCATAGTTCTTGATGCTGATGTGAGCTGTAGTTCAACAACATCTGGGTGGTCACATGTTTCCACCCCAGCGGCAGAGCCAGTTGCATTGGTACAACCCTGCATGCCCAATATTGGCTAGAACCCTCTTTGGGAGACTGCAATAAATAGGAAGCAAGACAGAATGGATTTACTATTAACCAAGCATACAATAGCTCCGCAGCTGCAGCAGCTCAAGGAACCATAAGCGTTATCAGAGCTATACTGCATCTTTTTGTAGGCCAAGGAGGAAATTAATGGAAAAAAAGGAGCTTCTATAACATTCAGTCCTTGCATCCAACCCAGAACTGAATCATTTGACCCTTTCATTCCTACTCCCTACTCCATACAGAAAACAAAGCCAACCTTAGAATGAGAGCACTTCCTTTATAAAGGCTCCCTTTCTCCACATGAAGACCTTCTCGCCCTCCTGCCGGGAGCACAGTCAGAGAAAAGTCATGGTGTGACAGAAGCCATGTCCAGCACAGAAGCCAGAACAGAAATTGGCATTTAATTGTGCCTATTAATATTCAAGGTATCCCGAAGCACTTTGCAAAAGCCATGTGTCAGTGACTGGCAAGCAACATATCAACAGTAAGCTGCTATTAGCACTCAGGCAGCCGGGAGTATCAGAAACTACTTTTTTGACCAAGAAAGAGGCTCATTAGGCCAAGTTTTTCAAATCTGTTCTATCACAGCAGAACTGGAAATTATGTGATGGGATGGGCAACCTGTGGCCCTCCGGATGTTTTGACTGATGACTCCCATCAGGCCTAGCAGCATAGCCTGTAATATATGATGATGGAGATGGAACTGGACCAAAATTTGCCTGCCCTGTTATATGAGAATTTCAAATTACACCATTATTGGGCATGAGCAATATTTATTCTCTGACACAGTATTGCTGTGTTGAAGCATGCCATTTTAGAATACAGCATTGGCCTAACATACGTGATTGCCAAGATGCAAACAACTTCAGTGTTTGTGCAATCACGTCGAGAACCATCCGTACATGGTGTCTTCCTCAGTGGCTAGAGAATTTTATCTTCCCCCTCCTGCTGAGCGAAAAGGTGGGGAAAGTAAAAGGAGTGCTGAAGCTTGTGGCATTTTCACACCTCAGACATCTATTATGCCATAAGGTTTTGTGGACTAGAGCCCACTATTTTAAGAGTTATACTTAGTTGGCAGGGGTGGGTTTGGAGACGGAGCGAGAATAATGTTAATCCTAAAGTCAAAAAGCAATAGATTCTTTGAAAACTGAAAGTGTATTCACAGTATGCAATGCCTAGAGGTGTTTGCTAGCTTAACAATGTGTAAAAAAGTGGGAGACACAAAGTTTCCATGTGTCTGCAAGAGGAGTTGCTCACCTCCTCCTGAGCTGGGTTTGGTTCTGTTCTGTTGCCTGCCATGGAATCCTTTTTTGTCTCAAACCGACCAGGACTAAAGAAGCCCAACTCTGCTCAGGCATTGGGCTTCATCTGAATTTAATGTGTATCCCTAACAGAGACCATTCACAACAACAGTTATATTTGGTGATAACTCTGGAAATGGGTGTAGTGAAGTTCTTCTCATCGTGTAAATGGCTGCTACAGACAGTGTGCATGATTCTGTGTTCAGTGTATTAAGTTACAGTGTCTGTCTAGCTAGCTAGTTATCTAATTTGTAGCCCAATCTTCATCCAGTGAGTTCAGGGCAACACACAT